GTGAGGCAGGATCAGCAACAAGTACATGAGGTGAAGGAGCCCTCATCTCTGAAGTCTCTCGGAAGAGGAGCAGGAATCCACGATTAACTACCAACTGCTCAAGGCCTTCCCCTCTGGCCAGCTCTAAGTCTGCAGCTCTCTTGGAATCTCACCAGAAACAGAAGGGACAGAGGTTTTACCTCCTCCAGCCAGTGCGAGCCACCGCAGGTATCAAAAGGGGGGGAGTGTTTCTTAGCAGTGCTTTTGAGATGTCACTTGAGAGCTATCAAATGGTAATACATGGCTAATGCTGTGACAATTAATTGTACCTCTACCTTAGGAAGCCTGTAGCCAGACTTGAATGTCTTCCTTTCTAGGAGCCTTTCTTTACCAGCTAGTCTTGAAATTAATTTTTTAGCACTGAAGCCACAAATCCCACTATCTGGAGATTAAGGCCATTCTTAGCAATATAGTAATTTACAGGCTGACCTGGGCTCCATGATACTCTCTCTCAACAAACATTTCCAGGGACTGGCAAGGTGGCTCACTGGGGTGAAGGTACATGAGCCATATAGACTTGGCACCCCGTGTCAATTTCTGATACCCATGTAAAGGTATAAGAAAGAACTTATTCCACAGAGTTGTGCCAAACATCTTTATAAGCTGAGCCATCTCACTGGTCCTCAAATATACTCTTTTCTTTTCTTTTTTTCTTTTGAGATAGTTTCTCATTATACAGAACTGTCTGTCCTGGAACTGGAACTCTCTATGTAGACCAGGCTGGCCTCAAACTCACAGAAACCCACCTACTTCCGCCTCCTGTTAAATGCCAGGGTTAAAGATGTGTGCCAGTAAGGCTGGCTTCAAATATGCTCTTAATCAGTGTTGGAAAGGAAAGGTATCCAAGTCACTGTGAAAGGTGGTTTTCAAACTCTGTCACCGTGAGCACTTCTTGCCCAGCTCACACATCTGGTCAGTCTTTGACTTTCAGCTTCTCCTTGTTCAGGGCTGTTATTCTAGAGGCGTCTGTAACAAAACACAAGATGCCATAGAGCAGAGTATTTCCTCCCAAAAAGTGAAGCTGAAGACACTAACAACCCAATAAACTAGCCCAGGATTGCTTCCTGGTGAAGGTTGAGCTGTATAGCACGCAGGAAGAAATCCTGAGCAGGTGAGACAACGCTGTGGGTGAAGGCACCGGCCAGCAAGCCTGAAGCCCCCTGAATTCAATCTCAGGAATCTACATGGTGGAAGGAGAGAACTAATTCCACAAGTTGTCCTCTGGTCCCCACAAATGTCATGGCGTGTGAGTGACTCCCCCAAACACATTCATACACAAAGGTAATACAAATTTCTAAAGAGAAAAGAAAAAAGAAATCTTACCTTGTTGGGTATATGCTTGGTGTGTGCTTAGTATGTATGCAAGAGCCTGTGTTCTGTTCTTAGCACCAAAGTAAAGAAATAAATCTTATCTGTGAAAGAAATTGTTAAAAACAAACGAACAAACAAACAAACAAACAAAAAATCCAAAAGAGCAACAACAAAAACCTCACCAACTCTTTGTAACCTAAACATAAATCTCCTTTTAAAAGCTAATACATGCCAGGCAGTGGTGGCATATGCCTTTAATCCCAGCACTTGGGAGGCAGAGGCAGGCGGAATTCTGAGTTCGAGGCCAGCCTGGTCTACAGAGTGAGTTCCAGGACAGCCAGGGCTATACAGAGAAACCCTGTCTCGAAAAACAAAAACAACAACAACAAAAAAATACATGCTAATAAAAGTTAGTGGTTGTTGGCACATGCCTTTAATCCCAGTACTGTGGGTGGGTTGACGTGGGGGAACAGAGGCAGGTGGATCTCAAGAGTTCAATGCCAGCCTGGTCTACAGAGTGATTTTCAGGACAGCCAGGTTTACAAAGAGAAAACAAAAAAACAAAAACAAAACCCCAAACCAACCAACCAACCAACCAACCAACCAACCAACTAACTCGAAGCTAATACATAAAGCTTTGCCCCTAGTCCGAAGCTAACACATACAGCTTGACCCCTAGGCTCAAGTATACTCTACTGCACCTGTACTTATTCTCAGCTATTTATGAGGCTGAGGCAGGAGGATGAGAGTTTGAGACCAGCCTAGGTAAAAAGATATTCTATTTTTTTATATGATGGGGTCCTTTACCTCAGGACTTGTGAGGTAAAGATAGGAAGATGAAGAGTTCAAGGCCACCATGGGCTACTTGAGAGGCTGTCTCACAAAAAAACAAAATCAGAGCTGCCATGCTGCACAGTTGGTAGAGGGCTTGCCTAGCATCTACAAAGCCCTCGTCGGTCCAGTTTCTGGTTCTACATAAAGCAGTCATAACAGCACATGCCTAAACGAAAGGATGTGGGAAGTGGAGGCAGGAGGATCAGAAGTTTAAAGGAATCCAGAGTGCTAGAGAGTTGGCTCAGTAGTTTAGAGAACTGGATAATCTTCCAGAGGACCTAGGTTTGATTCCCAGCATCCACAAGGAAGCTCACAACCATCTGTAACTACAATGCCAGGGATCCAATGTCCTCTTCTGGCCTTTGTGGGCACTTCATGCATGTGGTGCACAGGCATACATGCATGTCAATCAGCCACACACATAAACTAGTACATAAGAATAAAATTTAAAAGTTAAATGCCATCTTAGGCTAAATGTTGAGTTGGAGACCATTCTAGACCACTTAAGATCCCATCTCAAAAAATAAAAGAAAACCAAAGGGATAATCAAACCTATAATCCCAGCACCCAGGGGGCTAAGGCAAGGAGGGTTGCTATGAGCTCCAGGCCAGCCTGGGCTATAGACAGAGACCCTGACACCCCTCCCTCCAGCCCCCTACCCCTGCCAAACACCACCAACAATAAGAAACTAATGCAGTCTATAGATGACTGCCGCATATGCAGTAAATATTGTTCCCATTAATCTGTTTATTTTCAATTACTCTCCAGGCTCACGACAGACCTCTTCAGCTGGAATAGACATCCCCCTCCACCCCAGCAGGGCTCTAACTATTTTTTTTTTTTTTTAATGAACAACAATAAATGAAAAACAATGTCAGAATGAAGTTCTGGGGTCTCAGTGGGTAAAACACGGGCTGCACTTACCCGATAACCTGAATTTGATCCCCAGATCCCATTGTGTATGCAGGACACACAGACACACAGACACACACACCAGCAACAACAAAACCACACCACAAACAAAAGACACAACATATACATACATAATAGTAAAATAAAATTTAAAAACAGAAATACAGGACAGTCTTTCAAATGCAATATATTTAGGGTTTTTTTTGTTTGCATTTTGCTGTATCAGAGCTTTGAATATGCTAGGCCAGCATTCCTGATTCTGTATCTCCCAAATTCTGAGATTACAGATGTTCACCACCACCATACCAACTTAAGTCACAAATTTTAATGATTTTTTTTCCCCACCTAGCCCAGAACTTACAGAGATCAATCTGCCTCTGCCTCACTCTCAGAGTGCTGGGATAAAAGGCCTGTGCTAAAACTTCCAGGTAAAATCCCTTCATCTTGGCTCTTACTTCTGACCTTTAGTTTCTGTAATGGCTTGTTCTCATCCCTAAAATTCTGTTCTTGCAATGTACTGAGTGAAGTCTAACAGCCACGCCCCCACATGGCTAACAGCCTGGGCTCCGCAAGTCTAACAGCCACGCCCCCGCATCGCTGCTGGAAATGAAGGTAAATTCAGGGACGGCGGTGTTGAGCTCACCTTGCACCTTGGGAGGTGGAAGTAGAAGAATCCGTTCAGGGTCATCTTCAGCTATAATGCAAATTCCAGGCTGGGGAAAAAGAAAACAGACCTGGAGGGAAAGCGTTTCCTGGTCATTTGTTCTGGAAAACTAATTTTAACATTTCAATTCCTTCATCTGGCCAGAGTCTGGGAAGTGCCCGACCTTGTACATACCTTATCTTAAGCAATCGTGATTTCTGCCTGTGTGCTTTCACCTGATTTTACTGTTGAGAAAATTAGGCTTCAGATACCCCTAGCAATTCAAGGGATCTAAACTCGCTCACTGTCTCTGCCTCTCACCTGTCTGTCTCTGCCTCTCACCCGCCTTGGCCTGGATCTCAGCAATAGCTGTATATTAAATTAAATAAGATGGCCTTAAAGTAGTGGAGGCTGAGGTTAGCTTTAAACTAGTTTTCAGAGGAAAAACTTCAACCTTTGATCCTCCTGTTTTCCACTTCTCTGTGCTCGTATAAAAACAGGTGCTGTGTTTTGCTTTTGAAATTTTATTGTGTGTGCGTGTCGTTTGTGTAAGTAGATGTAACACTGCACACTGTAGGCTGTCCCCTTCCACCCAGATCAGCAGTCCCTAGAAATGTTTTGTATGGTTAGTTCCCATGGAGGAGTTAAAAGGTGACTGGTATCATTTATGGGGCAAAGTCTTTGAAAATGTATTTTACTTTGTTTAAAGGACTTCAAAATCTGGGATGTGGTAGAGCTCTTGCCTACAATGCGCGCTAGATCCCTACTCTACCCATTCAAAAAAAAAATCAAGCCTTGCGGTGGTGGCATTACTCCTTTAATACCAGCACTTGAGAGGCAGAGGCGGGCGGATCTCTGAGTTTTGAGTTCGAGGCTAGCCTGATCTGCACTACAAGTTCCAGGACAGCCAGGGCTACACAGAGAAACTTTGTCTCAAAACAAAACAGAATAACCATTCCCCCCCCCCATAAAAAAGAAATAAAAAGAAAAAATAAAAATTTACAATAAAATATACTGAGCGCACTGTATCACTGCCCTCACCAGCGTGGGCCTGAGGGCGGTCGGCCCCCGAGGGGTGAACAGGAGTTGGGTAGCCGAGCCTGGAGAGCGAGGACCATTGGACCTGCGCCCGGGGGCGGGGTCGCGGCGGACCTGCGCGCGGCGTGGGGCGGCGATTCAAACGCCGGGCGACCTTCCTGCGCTCTGGTCTGGTGCGCCGCGGCGCGGCGTCGGCGGCTGGGCTCGCACGAGCAGGGGCGTCATGGTCCACTTCTTGCACCCGTTGCCGTGGCCGCGGGTCCTCGTCCTGCCCGACGCTCAGCAGGACGCGCAGGGCCACTGCTTGGTGCAGGTGAGTGCGTCCGCCGTCCGAGCCCCCGGGCGTCCGCCCGTCGTGCCGCGCGGCCCGCGGGCTGGTGCGGGGCGGCCTCCTCCGGGCGGGCGGCGAGTTGGGCGTGACGGTTCGCTGGAGTTCGCGGGCAGGCCGGCCCGGGCTCCGTGGACGCCGCGGCCCGCCCTCGCGTGGTTCCTGTTCACTGCGCTGTTGAGGAAGGCGCCCGGGTTCAAGTCCAGCCATGCTGAGCCCCCGCTGCGCGCAGGCGCCATCCCGGACCAGCTCCTCTCGGACCGCCTGCCAGCCGGGTCTCCTCAGCCGGCTCCTTCAGACGCCCTGACCTCTGCACGCACACCCGCCGCCCGTCTCAGCCCCATCCCAGCCCCTCTCCTCAGACCCTTCAGCCCTTCCCCGCCGTGCCCCCAGCTGTCTCCTCTTAGCTCCCCTCGCAGCGGCTCTCCCCAGCCGCCCTCCCACCTGCCTTCCTTTCGAGGAAGGCGAAAACCTTGAGGTTGATTGGGTCTACACTGGAACTTAGGGTCAAGTTGACTCTGGATGCTCTGTTCTACCAGGGAGAACGAAAAGTACAGTGGTGACGCCTCTTTAGTGTATTTTATTGCGATCCCACGACCCCCACCCCTGCCCCGAGACAGGGTTTCTAAGTATAACAGCTTTGGCTGTCCTAGAACTCACGTTGGATTCCATGCTGTCCTTGAACTCGCAGAGATCAGACTGCCTCTGCCCAAGTGCCCACTCTTAAGGAGTTCTGGCCAGCCTGTGCTGTGTACACAGGAGACTACCTCCCATCCAAACCAACAAAAATATAGTGATGAGGGGCTAAGCGGAAATAAGTTCAGAGAGAAGTTAGCAGTCTGGCTGAGATGGTATTTTTGGTTGTGTTTTTGGATTTGGGGGTGAACATCCCTTGGTAGGCTGCTTTTCCACTGAAGTACACTCAGCTAGAAAGTGTGTGTGTGTGAGATAGGGTTTCTCTGTCTAACCCAGACTGGCTTCAAAATCAGTTCTGCCTCTTGTCTCCTGGCGTTACTGGGATTACAAACGCCTGCCAATACGGTCACCCTCTTTTTTCCTCGAACTCACTGAGGTCTCCTGCCTCTGCCTCCTGAGTGCTGATTTAAAAACATGCACCTCAGCCCTGTATTTTGAAAAGGTTCATGTAAAATAGAGTTACATTAAGAAATACATTAAATTGATTTTTATATATCAGTTTTGTATTCTCTTGACCTTCAGAAGTTACTTATTTTCTCCAACTTAAAACGAATCACTAGATCAGAAGACAGCTTGTTGGTAATATGTTCTCTTTCCACTATATTGGTTTTGGAGGTCAAGCTCAGGTGGCCAGGCACCTTTACTATCCTATCTTTCTGGACCCCTACTTATTTTTTGAATTATGGGTATGAGACTGGCGAGATGGCTCAGCAATTAAGAGAAGACCTGGGTTGAGGTCCCAGCACCCATATGTGTACATGAGTGCAGGTTTCCTCAGAGCCCAGAAGAGTATGGTCATGGTCAGTTCTCGAAGTCTGCAGGCAGATGTGAGTGCTGGGAACACAACTTCTGTCAAGAAGAACAGTGTGCCCTTTTAAACTCTGAGCTATCTCCTTAGCCCCTGTTTTAATCTTTTCTCTTTTTTTTTGGAAATAAAATTCCACCCAAGATCAAGCTGATCTGGAACTCACCAAGTAACTCAGGCTGGCCTTGCATTCTCAACAATCTTAACAAACCTGATCTTAACAATCGTAAGAATCGACACAGGACCCAGCCTCTTTTTTGCTTGTCTCTGCTTACAAGGCAAGCATTTTAACAAGTGAGCTATCTCTTCAGCCCTTGAAGGTTTAACTCATGTGCCTATCTATTTCCTTGGAGTTAATAGAGTTAGTTCTTTGTATATCTCCATATATATAAAAGACATTTCCTGAGCAGTGGTGGTACATGTTTTTAATCCCAGCACTCAGGAGGCAGGTGGATCTGTGTTAGTTTGAGGCCAACCTAGTACAGAGTGAGTTCTAGGAAGCCAAGGCTACACAGATAAACTGTCTCAAAAAGAAAAGGACGGGGGGGGGGGAAAAGGACAGCATTCCCAGAACTTAAACAGTAAACAGATTGCTTGCTTTGCTAACATCAAGAAATTTATTCTCTACTTTATTTAGTTTATCAAATTTATTGGAATGAAACCTTCATGGAAACCCTAAAATTATTTTTTGTTACTGGTTTTTTTTTTTGTTTTGTTTTTGTTTTTTTTTAAAGACAGGGTTTCTTTGTAGCTCCTGGCTATCCTGGAACTCAATCTGTAAACCTAGCTGGTGTTGAACTCAGAGATCCAACTGCCTCTGACTCCTGAGTACTGGGATTAAAAGTGTGTGCCACCACCACCCAGCCTTAAATTATCTTTTTAGTATATATGATACTGTAATTTTTTTTCTGGTTATTATCTTTTTAACATACACACCTTTTAGGTGGATTTCTGAGTTTGAGGCCAGCCTGGTCTACAGAGTGAGTTCCAGGACAGCCAGGGCTACACAGAGAAACCCTGTCTCGAAAAAACAAAACAAACAAACAAAAAAAAAACATACACACCTTTTTATTTTATTAGTTGTGGGTCATATCTTTATAATTTTCCTTATTTTGCTTACATGATGTATAATTTGATTTTTGTTGTTGTTGTTTTTGTTTGTCCTTGTCTTATAGCTCCCTATGTAGCCAAAGGTGACCTTGACCTCCAGAGCATCCTGCCTCTATATCACAAGTGGTGGGATTATAGGTTTGGGCCTGTAAATTTTTTGTGGATTATTTGTAATGTGGGTACCTCGGGCACATTTATGGCAGTCAGATGACAGTTTGAAGCCTGTTCTGTTCTTCTGCCGTATGTATTGAACTCAGTGTTTCAGCTTGGAAGTGAGGACCTTTACCAGTTGATCATCTCTCCAGCCCAAGAAATCAAATTCTATTGTTATGATTTATATATATTTACTGAGATTTTAAGATTTGTGACAAGGCTCAAATATGATCTCTCTTGGTTCACTCAAAATTTTTAAAGATTTTACTTATTTTTATTTTACATGCATTGATGTTTTGCCTGCATGTATGTCTCTATGGGGATGTCAGATTGCCTAGAACTAGAGTTGCAGACAGGTGTGAGTTGCCTTATGGGTGCTGGGAATTGAACCTGGGTCCTCTGGAAGAGAAGCCAAGTGTTCTTAACTGATAAGCTATCACTCCAGTGCTATGGTTTGCTCAGATTTAAAAAGCATATTGTAGAGGCTGGAGAGATGGGTTAGTGGTTAAGAGCAGTTTTTGTTTTTGAAGACAATACTACATGTGTCAGTATTGACTGTAAGGGATCCAGTTCTAAGGGATGCAGTGCTTTCTTTCTGGCCCCATCACACACTGCATATACATGCAGCACATACATACATGCAGGCAAAACACTCATACACATAACAGTACTTTAAAAGAGGCATATATATTCTGTTATTGGTTACAGAAGTTTATAGATGTTAAAATGGTATTAGTCTTGGGCTTGGGAAATGGCTCAGAGGTTGAGTGTGCATGCTGTTCTTGCACATGTCTTGAGTTTGGTTCTTAGCCATCTATGTTGAGTGACTCACAACTGCCGGTAACTTCAGCTCCAGGAGTTCTGACTCTTCTGATCTCTGAATTCCTGCATTTGTGTACAGGCACATGCTTGTATACAAATCTTTTTTTAAGTTAGTATTTATTAGGTGTGGTTCTGCACATGTATAATTCCAGCAGAAGCAGAATTATTGCAGATTCAAACAAATTTAGTCTACACAGCAAGTTGCAAGGTAGCTTGTCTTCTGTCACAGTTCTCAGGTCTAATTATAATTATAGACTTATACCACTAGCCATGGCTTTATCCTCTTGCCATGCCCACCACTTCTTTATCTTTCTTTCTTTCTTTTTTTTTTAATTTTCTTTTTAAGACAGGGTCTCATTGTGTAGCCCTGGCTGTCCTAGAACTCACTATGTAGATGGCTGAATTCTGCACTCCAAGTGATGAGATTTAAGGCAATTGCTACCATGTCCAGCCTTTCTTTTATTCTTTGCCCACTGACCCATCTTGCTGGCCCTTCCACCTTATTTGTTGAAACAGAGTCCACATTGGAGCCAATTAAAGAGACAAATTACTTGTGAAAAGTAAAAAAAAAAAAAAAATTTATTCAATATGACTATATTGGGAAGAATGGCAAAAAGATCCAGTGATACCCCTGAATACATATCCCAAGTTTATCTTCAGAGTCTCAAATGTGAATTTTAGGTGTAGGTAGAGGGACAGAGTTACACATCACAGGCAGAGGCGAGATGTTCTGCCTGTCGCTGGCCTGTCATTGTCTCCCTTCCTTCCAGGTTGTCCAGCAAGAAAGTGTAGTGAATTGCAGTGGTCATCCCCTCCCCCACCCCACCCCACCCTCCATGGCCCCAGGCTTCAGCCTTTTTCTTCCCTGAGCGTGATGCTGGAGGAAACTGCAATTTCTTGCCATATACCCTTTTGATAGTCCACTGGCCAAAGCAAGGGACAGAGAGTCCTCTTTAGAATATACCCATTCCTGCTCTGCAGCTTGCTTATGTCTCTCAGTCCACATCTTGTTTCTGGTAGACTAGGCGCTCCCAGGACCTGCTTGTCCTTGTCCTCTAGCACTGGGGTTATAAAAGCTTTATTCCTTGATCTGGGTGCTTGGGATCTGCTCTGGCCTTTCTGTGTGGCTCTCTGACTCTCTCTCCAGCTCTGGCAGGGACCTTGTAAATTCCAAAGACTTGTCAGTTGTATATTGCAGAGCCTTGTTAAGAAACCTCCTCCAGGGTGGACTGTTGTAATTCAGAGGGAATTTCAGCACACCAGTAATGGAAGCTGGGATTGGATTCCTGGTCTCCCTACCCCTGGGGTGCTGGGATTAAAGGTGTATACCTGTTTTGTTTTTGTTTTTGTTTTTGTTTTTGTTTTTTTGGTTTTTTGAGACAGGGTTTCTCTGTATAGCCCGGGCTGTCCTGGAACTCACTCTGTAGACCAGGCTAGGTATACCTGGCTAAGAAAAGTGTTTTTGGCCAGGCGGTGGTGGTTCACACCTTTAATCCCAGCACTTGGGAGGCAGAGGCAGGTGGATTTCTGAGTGTAAGGCCAGCCTGCTCTACAGAGTGAGTTCCAGGACAGCCAGGGCTACACAGAGAAACCCTGTCTCGAAAAACCAAAAAGAAAAAAGAAAAAAAAAAGAAAAGTGTTTTTGTTATTATTTTTTTTAGGAGGCAAAGATAGGATTGCCACAAGTAAGGTTTTTTGTTTGTTTGTTTGTTTGTTTTGTTTTGTGTTTTTGAGACAGGGTTTCTCTTTGTAGTTCTGGCTGTCCTGGAACTCACTCTGTTAGACCAGGTTGGCCTTGAACTCACAGAGATCTGCCTGCTTCTGCTTCTGAGTGCTGAGATTCCACTGTCCAGCGAGTAAGTTTTATATGAACAGGTTAGTGGGGTTTGGAGGTATGTGTAGTGTGTATTTTTGTTTTGTTATACAGGCCAACCTTGACCTGCTGGAGGGGAGCAGTTCTACCTCAGCTTCTCAGGCATCTTAGACTGTGAGATGGGTGCCTAGGGGGGCTTTGTGTGTGTGTTTTATTATTTCTTTCTTTTAACTTAATTTAATTCATGTATATGTTTTACATGTGTGTATTTTAAGTGAACTGTGTCTGTGCCTGGTGTCAAAGGAGGCCAGAAGAGGGTGCAGAATGCTCTGGAACTGGAATTAACAGATAGTTGTAAGCTGCTACGTGGATGCTGGGAATCTGAACTTGCATCCTCTGAAAGAGCAGCCAGCACTCCTAACAGTCAAGCACCTGCCTCGTGAACATTGAAATTACAGTCAGTTTTTACTTCTAATGTACAACAAACATGAAAGAGAGACGTGCTGAGTATTGAACCTAGAAAAAGTCCATTTTAAAAGATTGCTTTTATTTCTTTGAGTGTTTTTCCTGCATGAATGTATGTGCACCATGCCTGCAGGGCCTGCAAATGTCAGAAGAAGGTGTTGCTGTTATAAACCTCTGGGAGCTGCTATGTTGGTACTGGGATCCACACCCTGGTCCTATGCGAGAGCTGCAAGCTTTCTCAACTGTCAGTCCCATTCCAGCCTCGGTAGTCTGGATTTCATAAATAAAAGGGTTACCTAAGGTTGAAAGTTGGAGAGCTGAAGCTGTAAGGCTTGAAATCAATGCATTGTGGGTGGGGATTTATGAAGTGAGCTTGTGGCTCTGGCTTGTCATACCAGCTTTGGGACGTGGATGTAGAAGAATTACAAGTTCAAGGTCATCTTTGGTTACATAGTGACCCTGAGGCCAATCTGTAGTGCAGGAGACATTGCCTAAAACGACAAAACCCCAGAAAATGTGTAGAAGTGGATCATTTCTAACATTTGGGGTGCTGAGGTAGTACGACTTCAAGTTGGAGGTCAGACTGGGCTACCAGTCAGTAAATAAATAAAATTATCTGGCTTTGAACTTATCCTCTGCTTCTGCCTGCTGCTGCCCCTTTCCTCCTAAATACTGGGTTCTCAGGTATGTGCTACTGTGCCAACCAATGAAAGAATCATCTTGTTAGAAGAAATTATTTGTTTCAGTTATTTTGTAGGTGCAGGTATGCTGGTAAGAGGCTAACTCCTAAGGGGTGGTCAGTTCTTTCCTGCTGCCTTGTTCATCCAGGGAGTTGCACACAGGTTCTGAGGACTGTGAAAAGTAACTGAGCCACAGTGCTAGCCCCAAAAGTGTGTCTGTAGCCAAGATACTCAGGAGGCTGAGGTAGGCTGAGGTAGGCGGAATGCCCGAGCTCAGGTTTTCAGGTCATCTCTTTTTTTTTTTTTTTTAAAGATTTTTTTATTTATTTTATGTATATGAGTACACCGTAGCTGTCAGGGCATCAGATCCCATTACAGATGGTTGTGAGCCACCATGTGGTTGCTGGGAATTGAACTCAGGACCTCTGGAAGAGCAGTCCATGCTCTTAACCACTGAGCCATCTCTCCAGCCCTCAGGTCATCTCTTAACTTAGACCTCATTTCAAAACTCTAAATAATATATAAATAAATGAGTATGCCAGGCCTAGTGGTTGAAGTTAGTAATCCCAGTACTTGGACAGATGAGGCAAGAGATTTACTGAGAGTCTGAGGCCAGCCTGAGCTACAGAGCTCTTTCCTATGCTACACTGGGGTAGGGTTGTTTTTCTAGGAACTTGTGGTATATGAAGGCACTTATCTTCCTGAGTTTTAAAATTATTTTATTTGGGAGAATTACATGCAAAGGTGGGAGTGCAGAGGTGAGAGGATATAGTCGCTATATAGATCCTAGTCAAACTCAGGTTGTCAGGTGTGGCTGGAAGAATAAGCACTGAGAATTTTAAAACTATGAATTTGAAAAACTGCCTTAGCACTATCTTTTTGTTGTTGTTGTTGTTGTTGTTTTGTTTGTTTGTTTGTTTTGGTTTTTCGAGACAGGGTTTCTCTGTGTAGCCCTGGTTGTCCTGGAACTCACTCTGTAGACCAGGCTGGCCTCAAACTCAGAAATTCTCCTGCCTCTGCCTCCCAAGTGCTGGGATTAAAGGCGTGCGCCACCACTGCCCAGCGCCTTAGCACTATCTTGTAGGTTCTGATAAGCTGTACATTTGATTTCAGAAGTCATAGTATTAAAATATTATTTTTTTTTATTACTATTGAGGCAGGCTCTTGCTATGTTTACCTGGTTGGCCTGGAACTCACTGTGAAGACCAGGTTGGTCTTAAACTCAGAGATCTGCCTGCTCTGCCTTCCAAGGCTAGCTAGGATTAAAGCTGTGTGCTGTCATGTCTTGCTGGTTGTTTTGCTGTTCTTTAATTTAGTATGTGCTATATGGAGTGTATGGAGGGCAAAGGACACTTATGGACACTGGTTCATCTCAAGGATGAACTCAGACCATCAGGCTTGGCAGTAGAGCAAGCACCTTTACCTGCTGAGTCATCTTGTTGACAGTGGTCACTTTTATGTTGAATGTTTGCAGGTGAATTTTAACAGTTTTCCCTTTTCCTCTTTTGATGATTTAGGAGGAGGCATCACCCTACTCTTTGGTCAACATCTGTCTGGATGTCTTAATCGCTGAACTGGACAAATGGTGTTCTAAAAGACCTGATGGAACATTGTGTTTTCCAGAGCACTGGTATTTCCCTCATGAAATAGCTGATAAATTCCTTGAGAGGATGGCTTGGCAAGGTACTAAATATTCTCTAAAGTGTAGTCTTAAAGTGTTTTACTTTGTGTGTGTGTGTGTGTGACCCGCTGAGGCCTCAGTGAGGGGTACTTTACAGGAGCACAGGTACACCTTACCAGTGGCTGTACTATTTAAGACAATGCCCCAGTACCTGCCGCTCTTCCTCCCATGCACATCAGCTGTTGATTACATATGTGTCCTCGTGGAGGATGGGCCCTTGTGATTCCCTTTCTCCTCTGACAGAATGTTGACATGCTCAGTCTTGGTAGCTCTTGTGCTGCATTGGCCACTGAGTGCAGTAGCTGTGTTGTAGAGGAAGAAAGAGTTCCTCTACATGCCACTCCCTCCTCTGGCTTCTGATGTTCTTTCCCTCCCTCTCTTCTGCTTTGTTCTGTGAGCTATGGAATGAGCCATGGAGAATACCCATTTAGGGCTGAGCGTGCAGAGAACATCAGATGATCTGTTCTATTGGTTTTTCCTTAGCTCCTTAAGACGTTGTCTCTTGCTAAGCGTGGAGCTATGCCGACAGCCAGCCAGGTCGTCCGACTCTCCACAGTCACACAGCACTGGGGCGATAGGCATGTTTGGTCATGCTGGGCTTTTTACTTGAGTTCTGGAGATTTGAACTCAGGTTTCCATGTTTGCATTGCAGGTGCTCATACATACTAAGCCATTTCCCCAACTCCAACAGTCAGCTATTCTTAGCACTTGACCATATCTGCAGCTAAGCAGTAATAAGCCTCTTCAAAGCTGATAACAGCACTGATCTATGGACATAAACATATTTACAAAATAGTTTCACAGGCATTTCATGTCCAGTTACCAGAACAACAGCTGTACCTTCCCTACTGTGCATAGACTTTACTTCCCCAGCTTTTGACCAAACTTGCAGTACCAGAGATGAATTCCCTCTTGTGGCATGGACTTCCTATCCAACTGGAGAGCTGTTGCTTACTCCACTGTTGTACCAATGGCCAAGTCTCACCTGGCACCTCAGTAGTGTAGTATGTGTATTCCACAACTGAGTAAGACTGATGACAGTTCTCCTCCAGTACCCTTCTTAGCATCTTCCAGCACTATACAAGGGGGGACAATTTCCACTCAGTTCCAGCTTGATTACTGTGTCCTCCAATCAGAGTGTATGGTGTCTTCAGCAGTAGAGGGCCCCAACAACAATGACAATAGCCAATGACCCTCGGTGCTTTATTATTTGAAAAATACCTTTATTTATAGTTCTTGCTTTGATATTCTCGGTTTTTGCAGGGTAATCTAAGCTTTCGAAGCTCTTCCTGCTGCCAGGCTAATAGGCAAAGGAAATAAAGCCATTGTCATTCTGTTGTCTGAATCAGAATAACAGTTATCCTCAGCTCCAAATGAGTCTGAGGCCACTCTGGGTTCTAAGATATTCTGTTTGGGGGAAAACAACATTAAACAGAGAAGAGAGCAATAAGAAACCATCCCCACCTGTTCTCTGGCTTCCATCATTTTGTTGTATTCTCATTCTTTATTATCTACATTATGGATATGAACCTTTAAAGTCTCTTTAGGGCTAAAGCTTTAGCTCAGTAGTGAGACATGTCTAGTCAGCTGCAGGACACAAAAAAGGAGCCCAGACTTGATGGCATATGCCTGTAAATCCAGCACATAAGAACTGGAGGCAGTTAATCTCAGCACTTGGGAGGCAGAGGCAGGCGGATCTCTGAGTTTGAGGCCAGCCTGGTCTACAGAGTGAGTTCCAGGACAGCCAGGGCTACACAGAGAAAAACCAAAAAAAAAAAAAAAAAAAAAAAAGAAGAACTGGAGGCAGGGGAATGAGAATATTGGTCATCTTCAGCTTCATAAGGAGTCTGAGGCCAGTCTGGGTTCTAGGATATTATGTCTGGGGGAAAACAACAAAGAAGAGACCAGCAAGAAGGCTCAGTGGGTCAGAGCACTGACCATTAGACATAATGGCCCAGCTTCTCTCCCTGGGACCTACATGGTAGAAGAAGAGAACTGAATTCTGAGTTGTCTTCTGACTCCACACGTGCACCGTAACATCTGTATGCCACCTCTCCCAGTCAAATACATAAATATTTAAAAATTTAAACAGCAGCAAGAAACTAACAGTGAGGGGGAATTAGAGGTTCTGTTTTATTTGCTTTCTTAGAGTAAAGATTTTGGTTTTTACATTAGTACGAGTGTGCATGCATGCGTGCGTACAACAGGAATGGAAGCCAGAGGGCAGTGTGCAAGGGTTCATTTTCTCCATCATGTGGGTTCTAGTGACCAAATGAAGGTTCTCAAACTCTGCAGCAAGCTCTTTTATCTATTGAGCCATTTCACTGGCCCTTTAAAATTTTTATTTTATTTGAGATAGGGTCTCACCATGTAAACTTGCTGGCCTGGAACTTGCTGTGTAGTTCAGACTAGCCTAAAAAATTATAGAAATCTCTGTGTCTCAAGGCAAGTACTGTCACATAAACCTATTTTCTTTAAAAAGATTTCCTTTTTTATGTGTATGCATGTTTTCCCTACATGTACATATATACATTACATATATGCTTTGTGCTCAAGAAGGTCAGATAAAAGCATTGGATTCCTGGAATTGGAGTAATTTCAGTTCCAGGTGACTAGTGTCCTCTCCTGCCCGCCATGGGCACCAGTCACAAACATGAGGGCAAAAACATGCATACAAATAAAATAAGTCAATCTTAAAAAAGTATTTTTTTTTTTTTTCGAGACAGGTTTTCTTTGTGTAGCCCTGGCTGTCCTAGAACTCACTCTGTAGACCAGGCTGGCCTCGAACTCAGAAATCTGCCTGCCTCTGCCTCCAAAGTGCTGGGATTAAAGGCGTGCACCACCACCACCCGTCTTAAAAAAAAATTAATATTTTGATTTTTTTTAGGTTTATTTATTTAGTTTGTGTATATGAATGCTCTATCTGCATGTACACCTGTGTGCCAGAAGAGGACATCAGATCCCATTATAGATGGTTGTGAGCCATCATGTGGTTGCTGGGAATTGAACTCAGGACCTCTGAAAGAACACCCAGTGCTCTAAACCACTGAGCCATTTCTCCAGCCCTAATCTTTTTTTTTTTTTTTTTTTTTTTTTTTTAAAGAAAATGAAGGCTCACCAGGCAGTGGTGGTGCACAAGTAGTCTGTGGGCAAGATAGACTCTTGAAGCCTCCGTTTCCTCATCTAACAGTACTGAATAGTTCCCCTGTTGAGTTAGTGCCGAAAATAAATGAGATAAGCTGGTGAGCTGGTGGAGGGCTTAGGACAGCATTTGCACAGTCAGCAGTAACCGCGGTCAGAATATTCTAGGAGCATCTGTCCTCATTCACTGCTGTGTCACATTCAGGAAAGGCATGAGATCTGGTTGTCATTGAAAGTGGTTCTGCTTTTCTTACAGGCAAGCTGACTGACAGAACAGCAAGCATTTTCCAAGGCAAGCAGATGAACCTGAAGCTGATAAACATTCAGAGAGTTAAGCTCTCTGCAACAGCCTTCACAAAAGCCTTCTGCCATCACAGGCTCATTGAAGTGGATGCCACCTCGGTGGACTCCGAGCTTCTAGCCCCAGACATCATCCACGCTCTCCAGAGCAGTGCCTGGATCCAGAAAAACCTTAAGTCTCTTACATTAGACTCAGTTAGCGTCCCTCAGAACTCAGGACTATTGGCCTTGAGTCAGTTCACTGGCCTTCACACTTTAAGTGTTGCCAACGTGTCCTTTTGCAATGAAGACCTAGTTAGCGTTTCTCAGTTACCAAACCTGGAAAGCTTGGATATCTCCAATACTGTGATCACCGACATCTCTGCGCTCCTCTCCTGTAAGAACCGGCTCAGATCTCTCACGATGCACTATCTGAAGTACCTGGCCATGAACAAACCACAAATTCTTGCAGTTATCAGACAACTGAAATGCCTGCTTCACCTTGATATTTCTGATCACAGGCAGCTCAGATCAGATCTGGCTTTTTATCTGTTACAGCAGAAGGACATTCTGCCCAACCTCATATCCCTGGATATTTCAGGGGGCACCGACATCACTGATCAAGCTGTGGAATCCTTTCTGCAGCATCGGCCTGCAATGCAATTTGTGGGACTCTTGTATACCGATGCTGGTTACTCTGATTTCTTTATGGCAAAGCAAGGCTTGAAGGTTTGTCCTAACATGTATTTTGCTTTATTTTTTCAGAGTATTATAGGTTCTTGTACATTAGACTCTATATGGTGGGGGAGGGAGGGTACTTGTCTAAAATTCTCCACAGGGATGGCAGAGATGAGGATGGCAGAGATGAGGGGTAGCCCTTTGTGGGGGATCCCCAAACCTGCATGGTTTTATTAATTGCACTTAAATCTTGTAGCAGTCTCCATCCCTCTGAGCTCCTTTATAGTGAACGCTGTGGTGTTCCATGTAGGATGGGCAGATATGGTGAGGTTGGAGTTGTTCTTTTACTAACTGTGAGTGCTTCTAGTTTCTCCCTTGATAGAGGCCACTATTCAATCCAGATGGGCTCCTTGGACAGCCAGTCGAGGCAGGGAGTGTGATATTTAACAGCAGACGTTAGAAATGAAGTAACCCAGGGGAAGGTTTTAAAAGTTTTTATGAGTATAATTATCACTACAGGTATAATTATTTACCCTACTACAATTTTCTTTTGGCTGACTAGTGAGAGTAACTTCCAGGGCCTCCAGGATATCTTTTCCTAGAAGATTGGTGGCAATGTAGAAAAGGAATTATAAATTCGAGGTAGCCCATATAAAATCAAGGTATTTTCTTTACAAGCTGTAAGCCTAGGTTGAGCAGGTTTGAGCTATTCTAAGTTGCATCCCAGTCATGTGTCCCTTGTTACTTGCTGTTTCTCCTCCTAGTCACGTGCCCATGGTCTATCTCTCATATTAGCTTCCTCTTTTCTTCCTGTGCTTTTTTCTTTCTCCTCTCTTCACTACCTTCTACCCCCAGCCAGGTAACTGAAAACCCGCCTACCTCTATCTGTTGCCCAATCACTGGCTTTAGCCTTTTATTGACCAGTTAATGAGGGGAGCAAAGTTCATACAACAAAAGCTGGTGTCCTCACTGGGGGCAACCAGATCTTGGGGACCATTATTTAGCATTTGAATACATAGCACAAACCAACCCCCTGTAGTGCTGTTGGCCCATCAGGCCTGTAGACCAGTCATGGTCTCCCTGTGGTGTGTTTGTTTGGTGGTGAAGGCATGGGAGCAGCTTGAATACCTGTAATCAGGCCTGGGGATTCCTGGAAGCAAACTCAGGTCGCCCAGGCCTTCATTTCTTTTTTTAGCAATTGACAGAGTTCCCTTTTCAAAAGCACTTCCTTAGCTGAACACAGACTAGAGTGTGTGAGGGTAAGGCAGGTGGATTGTAACTTTCAAATCAGTTTGAGGTATGTGTTAAAACTGTTTCAACAAAAGCATTTTCTTTTTTGGTTTTTCGAGACAGGGTTTCTCTGTGTAGCCTTGACTGTCCTGGAACTCACTCTGTAGACCAGGCTGGTCTCAAACTCTGCCTGTCTCTGCCTCCCAAGTGCTGGGATTAAAGGCATGCGCCACCACCACCCAGCAAATAACTTCACAGATTATGAATGCTTTTTTTTTTTTTTCCCCAAGACGGTTTCTTTTATAGCCCGGGCTGTCCTGGAACTCACTCTGTAGACCAGGCTGGCCTCGAACTCAGAAATCCACCTGCCTTTTCTTGTCAGTTTAGTAGAGTCCTGAAAAAATGATGTTAGTGGTTGAGGCAGGAGAGATGTTTCATAAAATCCTTATTCTGTCTCCTGGATTTTTGTTCTTTACCATCCAGGAATGTTGAAAACTTGGTCATGTTTTTGTTTTTGTTTTTTAAATCCTGGGTTGCAGAGATGGCTTGGTGCTTAAAGAGCACTGACTGCTCTTCCAGAGGTCCTGAGTTCAATCCCCAGCAACCACATGGTGGCTCACAACCATCTCCTACAGCCTCTTTCCAAACATAAGATCAACAAGGAATTTTCATTTTGTCTTGTTTTTTGAGACAGTTTTTCTCTGTACAATCCTGGCACCCCAGAACTCATTCTATAGACCAAGCTGGCCTCAAACTCAGAGATCCACCTGCCTCTGCCTCCCAAGTGCTGGGATTAAAGATGTGCACCACCACCACCTAGCTAATGAAAAATTTTTTTTCAAGATTTTATTTATTTATTTAATGTCTATGAGTATACTGTAGCTGTCTTCAGACACACCAGAAGAGGGCATCAGATTCCATTACAGATAGTTGTGAGCTACTGTGTGGTTGCTGGGAATTGAACTCAGGACCCAGAAGAGCAGTCAGTACTCTTAACCACTGAGCCACTACTCCAGCCCGTGCCTTCTAGTCTTGCCGGGTTTTTTTTCCTGTGTGATTACTTAGCCTCCTGATAGGCCTCCATCGTGACTGATGACTGTTGAAACTTTGCACATTATTTGTTATTTGCATTAGGCTCTTTACCCTGCGCTTCTCACACTTGGTAAGCCAGTGGTTTACCACTAATGCAAATCTCCAAACCACAGCCAGTTGAGGTTTTGTGGGGTTAGATTTCTTTTCTTGATTCAGTCAGGGTTGCTTATATAGAACCTGGTTGTCCTCAAGCTTGAGACAGTTCTCTTACCTCTGCCTCCCAGGTGCTGGGATTGCAGGCATGCACTACCCAGTTGCAGTCTTAACTAGACTAGAGTTGCAGGGAGCTGTGTGTGGGTCTGACATGAGCACCTCTTTGTTACTGTCCTGAGCTACACATTTCCCTCATTGGATAAATCTGTGAGATGGGGGTTGAAGAACACAGGATTTGTCTTGAATGTTGACAGGACCCAGATGCTGTGTCAGGAGGTAAAACGTACTGTAACTTGTGTTTTGTAGGTTGCTGGAGGAGCCAACATGAGTCAGATTTCTGAAGCACTGAGTCGGTACAGGAACAGGTCGTGTTTTGTGAAGGAAGCTCTCTACAGGCTCTTCACAGAAACACTTTCCCTGCGTGTCATCCTCCCTGTCATGCTAAAGGTACCTTAGATTTTATGTCTTACTTGGGCAATTGAAAGTTGTTTACCAGCAGTCATGGTGGTCCACAGCTTTCATTCTAGAGGCAGCTGAAAAACAGGTCGGTCTGAGTTCCAGGCCAGCCTAGTCTACATACTGAGTTCCAGGCTAGCCTAGTCTATACACTGAGTTCCAGAGCAGCTAATGCTACACAGTGAGACTTTGTCTCAAAAGACAAAAAAATTGTTTATTGAGCACAAGAGTAGTTCAGTAGTTCATTTTACTTTGTTTTTGTTTTTGAGAGAGTTTCTCTGTGTGGTCCCCACTGGTCTCACTCCTTATTAATAGTGGGCTAAGTGTACTCATCAAGATAGAGTAGTGAGCCAGAAATATTTGGGAAATAGGAGAAAAAGAAAGAATAATAGTAGATAATACTAGATTTAATTGTTCTATCCTGGTTTGAGCATCTGAATCTGTACGAGATCAATTTCCTTCTTTCTTTAAGTTGGACCTCAGTATGTAGCCCCAGCTGTCTTGGAACACACTATGTAGACCAGGCTAACTTCCAACTCACAGAGATCCACCTGTTGCTGACTCTTGAGTGCTGGCATTAAAGGTGTGTGTGTGTTATCTCATCCAATTTTTAAATCAACTTTGAGTCCAAATGTTTATAATTTGGTCTAAGGTAGGCAGGAAGGTAATAGGAGCATTGTTACCTTTCCAGTGTAATGTTTTCTACTTTTAAATTCTTCTCTTGGTAACTCATTCCATTCTTTTCTCCATCTTGTGATTTGTTTTTATTTTATTTTCTTATTTTTTGCTTTCCTTTCTTGCCTCCATCTCTTGTCTAATGTGCTTTGTCAGTGAAATCTTCCAGTGTTGTCCTCCCCCTCCCCCTCCCACAGCCCCCTTCATTTGTGCCTCTCCTCTGCTGCTTTTCAGTTTCATGTCTGCCATCTCTCAGTGTTAACTTAGGATTTATTCTAAGGGATTAAGCATAATCTGATTCACTGTACAACATGTCTGAGTCCTAGCTCTTAGAAGGCTGAGGCAGGAGGATTGCTGAGTTTAAGGTCAGCCTACATCCACAATGAGACCCCCATCTTGAAATATCCCCCAAATGACATAATCTGACTGTTTGTGTCGGTCAGTGCTTGTCACAGTAGCTTGGGTGATGCTCAGGAAATGATCATATAATTCATGTTACAGATGAGAGATAAAGGTCCAGAGTCATCCAGCTAGTTTAATGGCTACATTTGGACTTGAAGCAATTGCTGCAACTCCTCATTGTCCTACAGAATAAATGCTAGGAATAGGAAAAATCTGATATTAGTCCAATGAAGCAAATAACTTGTAAATGGTGTCTCATGTAACCACAAACTTTTCCATCTGCGCCCCAGTACCCAAATAATCACTCGGAGGCTTTTTTATTATATAAATGCCTAGGCCTTAAGCTAGGCTTGTTCATAACTCAATTAATTATACCTTAAGAGTTGAAACAAATATGCAGTATATTATAGCAAATATATAACCTTAAATTTGTATGCATATACAAAATTTCATGCCAGTATAAAATTATTTGACTTGCTAGTTTAAAAAGTAGGTTCAGTAACATACCCTTTTATCCTATCATTCCTATAGCCCCCTTTTTCCATCTCTTCTCCCCCCTTTTCCATAACATTAGATAGAAGAGTAAGAAAGAGGGGAAAAAGGCAAAAAAGAGATCCCTGAATCTAACCTCCTATACTTTCTTTCCTCCTTGACCAATGTCATCAACAACTTATATAACAACTCCCCTTAAACGATGACAGACCTCCATCACCCACCAAATGACCAAAACCTACCCACCCTAATTTTTTGTGAATGAAGTGTCATTCTCTTAAAACTGTTTCCTGTTGTCTGTGGGTGATGTTCTCTTTTGGGGACCCTAAGAAAATTGGGATATTGGCCAAATCCTAGGAAGGCTGGCTGTATCCTGGACGACCTAGTTAGCCATAGAGAGGTTTTTCTGGATTCAGATTTTTGTGGGAATTGCATTTGAGGCAGTCTATGAGGTAGGATCACCTGGGCTACTTGGTGTCTGGTCCTTTTGCTCCGTTTTGTTGTTCTTGGTTTCTTCCTTCATGTCTGCTGCCAAGATGTTTTAATCCATAGCTTTTCTTCTCCTGTTGAAACAAAGACAAAACGTCTTCCCCACCTCAACACATTTCCTGCCTTCCATTCTGAAGTTTTCACATATAAAAGCTGATCTAATTCATCAGTCCTTTCTCACTGACAGGTTGAAAATTTAAAGTCAGTAAAGCATCAGTCTGTTTCTGGGAGATTCCTTATCCCCTTCTGTTCTGTGAGCATTTCCTTCATGGTCGAGTTAGATCTCACTCTAAAACTGCTTGTCTTGTAGCATTGTGAGATATGCCAATAATGTATCTATGCCACAATGTTTAAAATATTCTCATATTCCAGTAGATACATATGTTGATGCATCATCTGCTTCAGTCTCTAAAGGCATCTCCAGGAGAGCCACCATCTCTGATAAGTGTGTGATCTCAGAATCATTCCTTTCAGAATTCAAGGCAGAAGCCCTCTGGGATTCTGCATCACCTGTATGGTGTATTAACACATGTACATATTTTAGATTTTCCAGATTCTATAAAATGAAACACATTCTGTGACATTGTTCTAAGGTGACTTCATTAAACATAATCTGTATTCTTAACTCAGGGTAAGTCTTTTTTACCTAGGAATTTAATAGGCTGCCATTTGTAATTTCATCTTAAAGTGGCCCTGTAGGCTATAGATCAGATTCCTCTGAAATTTCTTCATGGATCATAGGGTTGTCTAAATTTTGTTCTATTGTTTGTAATTTAGCTAGGATTTTTTTCAGTCATTTCCTTATCTAAGTCTTCTTTCTTTTGATCTCTCTTAAAAGGGACATATAAAGTTGTAATTGTTACTGAAAACAAAAATTATTTGTATGTTGATAAGTGAAACAAAACATATAGGATCCAGATGCATTGTGTCATTGCATTTGTTATTTTTTAACATAGAAAATATTTTTTGACGGGCGGTGGTGGCGCACGCCTTTAATCCCAGCACTTGAGAGGCAGAGGCAGGCGGATTTCTGAGTTCGAGGCCAGCCTGGTCTACAGAGTGAGTTCCAGGACAGCCAGGGCTACACAGAGAAACCCTGTCTCAAAAAACAAAAACAGAAAATATTTTTCTTTTTAATCTCCCTCTCCTTAAGCACTTCCGAAGTCAGTTGACCTTTCACCCCTCCTCCCATCCTCACTGTGGAGCTCCACAGTGTCTATGGATGGAGTCTGCCAAGTCTCTCTGCTGCTCAGCTAGCAAGTTGTGCAGGCTGCTGGCTCCTGACTCAGTTCCTCACTCCACTGGACTCCTGGCTGTTGCAGGCTTTCACCTACAAGCACCAATGTAGATGCAGGCCCTCATGCCCTGCCATGCTGGGCTGGGTCTATTCTCTGACCTTAGCCCACTCTGGGAAGGTGGCTCCTGGATGCAATAAGCTGCCACCTGTTCTAGCTCTGAGCCAGCTTTTCCCATGAGCACAGGCTGCTCAGTCCTTCTGCTGCGCCTGTGAAGTAGTACACTAAGGCCCTAGAGTTGAATCCCACTAAAAACAAATTTTTCTTCAGCTTGTGGCTATAGGAATGAGGAATCATCCATTGGATCTGCCAGTGCAATTCACAGCCAGTGCTTGCGCCCTCAATCTAACACACCAGGGTCTGGCCAGGGGAATGCCTGTTCGTCTGTTGTCAGAGATCACCTATCTACTTTTCAAAGCAACGAAAAATTTCCCCTACTACCAACAGGTAATTTGAATTAAATATTTGATTTTTAAGCTTAGAACACATTTATGAAAATATGTATTATTGAATTGTAAAATATGTATTATTGAATTGCAGTTTTTAGCTGGGCAGTGGTGGCGCACGCCTTTAATCTCAGCACTTGGGAGGTAAAGGCAGGCGGATTTCTGAGTTTGAGGCCAGCTTGGTCTATAGAGTGAGTTTCAGGACAGCCTGGGCTACACAGAGAAACTCTGTCTCAAAGAACCCAAAATATAAACATTTGCTAAGAAACATCTATTCACACATCAGGCGAGGTGTGATGGAGCTCACCTATACCCAGCACGTGGGAGGTGGAAGCTGTAGGATCAGGTGTTCAGGTCAAGGTTAGCCAAGGCTACATGAGATCCTCTCTCTAACAAACAAAAACCCCAGGGGGAAAAAAGTTGAGTTGGGGTCAAGAAGATAGTTTAGGAGGTAAAAGTGCTGAACCTTAAGACCTGAATTTGACTTTTAAGACTCACATGATGGAAGGAGAAATTACCTTCCATAAATTGCTTCCTGATCCCTATACATGTGCATGTCCATATGTGCAAGCTCACACACTTCCTATATATACTTTTTTCCTTAGTAATCAAAGATTTTTTCTTTTTCGGGGGTGGGGACATATAGCTCAGTGAAAGAGGACTTGCCTAGCATATGTAAGGCTGAGGTCCTGGTTTCCAGATCCAGCACTAAAAAATAGACCCATCAGCATTAAAAGTTCTTGTGCTGGGAATGTAGCTCAGTGAAATGAGCTTGCTAGCATACCTAGCATGCATGAAGTTTGTCTTAGGGTTTCTTTCTCTCTTCTTGTGTAACCCTGGCTTTCCTAGAACTCTCTCTATAGACTCGGCTGGTTTTCAACTCAGAGAGATCCACTTGCTTCTGCTTTCTGAGTGCTGGGATTAAAGTTGTATACCGTCACTGCCCACCAATGTCATGTATTTTCTTTAAAAGGAATCCTGTCTGACAAGAAAGAAGTGAACTACTGCTAAATGAAACATAGGGTGAATCTGAAAACCATGTTAAGCAAAACATGCTAAAAAAGTGGGTGACAAGATTCCATTTAAATCCTGTTTGTGGCAGTGGCTATGTAGTAGGTTTCAAGGTAAAGGTACCTCCAACCATCCTGATAACCTAAGGTTAATCTCCAGGTTTAAAAATAGGAGTTGGTCTTTTAAGAGTCTTTATTCCTACATGACAACAATCAATTGTAAGAGAAAATTAAAATCTTGTAGAAGACTACATAAATAATGAGCTCTCAGGCTCATTGGTCATCTCAGCCGTGTGTGTGTGTGTGTGTGTGTGTGTGTATGTGCGTGTGCACGGCTTTTGTATTTTGCTTGCATGTATGCCTATGTTAGGATGTCAGATCTTGGAATTATAGACAGTTGTGAGCTGGTATCTGGGTGCTGAGAATTGGTCCCTGGTTCTCTGAAAGAACACTGGGTACTCTCTTAACCACTGAGACTCCTGCCCTAGCCACATGTCTTAACCTGCTTTCCGAATGGAGTATCACATTTGCTTATGAATGTTTGTCCTTTGTTCCCTAAAAGTTACAGAAGAATTGCCTTCTCTCCTTAACCAGTTCCAGGATTCTTATGGATGTTCCGTTTGACAGGCAAGTAAAGATCGAACCTCATCTGACTATAGGGGCTTGCCTGGTTAAGGCTGAGGTAAGGTGTTAGGGAGGTTTCCTTGAGCCTCTTTCCCAGAGAGATTGGTGGCGTCCTAGTTACACAAATACAAAGGATTCCAGTGGGAATAGGAAACACCAAGATCCTTCTAGCCCTCCCCTCTTTGCACAGAACTTCCTCTTTTGTAAAATAATGAATGACTCTTTAAGCAGATTAGATAGGAATATAGCAGTGCTTTAAAGTATTGTAAAAAACTTATTTCTGTTCTTATTTTTTAAGTTATTCACATTTTTTGAGATAGTTCTTCTAGATGTTACATAGCTGGTTCTATTGAGGCTTTTGGAATCCTCCAAATACATGAGCTTAAGTGTTTGAGGGCTGTTGCCGAAGGGCAGAGCAGTGAAGCCGAAACTGTGCAGATGGATGAGTGAGCCGCTAAGATGTGTCATTTGCAGCGTTTTGGTGCTATTTACAATTCAGCTTACAAATTACAAATTGCTTTGTTTTTCTTCAGTCTTTTCAAAGTATAGAATCCCCCCAAAATTGGAACTTTTTCTGGACTGCCCATCCCATATTTTATTCACATTCTCATTGGAATCCACTTCTCTTGGGCTTTCTCTGAAATGTTCTTATTTTCTTTCTTTTTTTTTTCTTCAAAATTTTATTTATTTAATGTATATGAATACACTGAAACTGTCTTCAGATACACCAGAATCTGTTACAGATGGTTGTGAAGTACCATGTGGTTGCTGGGAATTAAACTCAGGACCTCTGAAAGAGCAGCCTGTGCTTTTAACTACTGAGCCATCTCACCAGCCCCTGAAACATTCTTATTTTCATTGCTAAGGCTTTAGATATCTTCTTTTATTTTTTATCTTTTTTTCTCAGCATATGTTGTACACAGTACTGGATTTCATGATGGAATTTTCATACCTGTATAATATATTTCAGTCATACTTATTTCCATTGTTCTCTTGTTCCCTTTCCAGCCTGAGCCTCTTCCTCTTCACAACTAGTCACCCTTCTGCCTTTCATGTCTGTGTATGAACCAGTTAGTTTGATTTGATTAGGAATACTTACAGGTGAGGGGTTTATTTATAAGGAGGGACAACTTAGCAGAGACCACACCACTGAAGAAAGTATCCTTCCCTCTGCTATAAGCCATTCACTGGATAGGTTCTAAGGGATGGGGCCCTCTGAGGCCCTCTTCTGTAAACATTTAACAGTGGGTAGATTCTCAGGGAGGAGTTGGACTTCAGGAGCCCCTCTGCTGTTAGTCTTTAACTGTGTGCAGAATCTTCGAAAAGAGAATACAGGATTTATTTTCACTTGTTACTTATAATTTTGTAAACTTTACCTGATTGTGAGAAAAACATGTTCTGCCTTTCAGGTTTGATGCTGCCAAGCTTATTCTGAGGTGGGTGTGCAGGCGTGAGAACCCCAAGATGCAAACAATGGCAGTGAGCATCACCTCCATCCTCGCCCTGAAGGTAGTCGTGTGCCTGCGGCACCATTTCACTCCTTCCTCGGCTTGGGAGAGCTTTGGCATTCACTTGGGCCTTCTGTTTGCTTTCAGCTCTCACCTGAGGAGATTGAAGAGCTTCAGGAAGAGCTCCTTATGGCAGTTAAGGTGAGCTGCTAAGCTGAGGTGATCGCCACTCCTGCCCTTCCCTGCTTGCTGGGCATTGATCCATGGCTGTGTACTGCTGAGCTGTATCCTTGACCTTTAATAACTTTAAGAAAATAGAAGAAATTTATGAATGCAGTTTTTGTTTTTTTGTTTTGTTTTTAGAGACAGGGTTTCTCTGTATAGCCCTGGCTGTCCTGGAACTCACTCTGTAGACCAGGCTGGCCTCTAACTCAGAAATCCGCCTGCCTCTGCCTCCCAAGTGCTGGGATTAAAGGTGTGCGCCACCACTGCCCGGCTATGAATGCAGTTTTTAAATCATTTTGTTCTGTACTAAGTAGAGATGAGTGCATTATGTGAAATGCAACAGAATGTTTGAGTGAGAAAGACAAAATTTGCAATCAGATTCAGCTGGACATGAACCAGATGAAGCACTTTTTCAGGGGAGTTGGGAGTTTGAGACAAGGTTTTTCTGGCTGGCCTAGAACTCACTTTGTAGACCAGGCTGGCCTTGAACTCACAGAAGTCTGCCTACCTCTGCATCCAGAGTGCTAGGTTTAAAGGTGTATGCCACCACTGCCTGACAAATGTCACTTTCTTGAATAATAATAAAATCATAATCTAGGAGAATGAAAATATGGCACCTTAATGTTGAGGAGAATAGGAAGTAGCATTCTGTGTAGCATATTCACTGGAGAAAACAGGGTTATTGCTAGATAGAGCAATTACCTCCTGACACTTTAGCAAGCTGGTGAAATGACAAAGTGGGTAAAGACCCCTTACGACATGCATTTGATCTCTGGTCCCATGTGGTAGGAGAGAACCAATTTCTGTAAGTTGTCCTCTGACCTCCATACATACACAGTACCATATGCATTCTCATACACACGTATTCACGCACATGTACTCATACAATAAATAAAACTGTAATTAAGCCGGGCAGTGGTGGCGCACAACTTTAATCCCAGCACTTGGGAGGCAGAGGCAGGCGGATTTCGGAGTTCCAGGACAGCCTGGTCTACAGAGTGAGTTCCAGGACAGCCAGGGCTACACAGAGAAACCCTGTCTCGAGGAAAATAAAAATAAATAAATAAATAAATAAATGTTAGCATTCCTTTTATGCTCTGCCCCACAGTTACCTGGCAATAGCCAGGTATGCCTAACTCAGTATAAAAGGGGCTGCTTGCCCCCTCCTTCCCCTCTTGCTCTTTTGCCCTCTTCCCTCTCCTTTCTCTCTCTCTCTCTTTCTCTCTCGGGGTCTCTCCCTCCCTCTCTCTCTCTCTCTTTCTCACTTTCTTCCTCTCC